ACGTGGCAGGCAGAGCACCTCGCTATCTCTTTGATCTGGTGTCACCGTGTCTGGTCCCACTTCCTTTTCTTACCTTTTTCTCTTTTCCTTTTCCTCTTTGGTTCAGAAATGAGTTTCCAGTCAGAACAAGCTCATCTGTTTGTGGACGATTTCTTTCCCTTCTGGCTACAATGAAATTCCCTGGGGAACGGGTGGGCTGATTGGCCAGAGGAATCTTTTGGTGACACTCTCTGGGTGTCCTCATACATACCTGGGGGATCCAATGTCGGCCACAGCTGGGGGCCTCTGCACTCAAGTCCCCCAGAAGGTTGGGGCAGGGTTGAGAAGGTGGTTTGCTGGTGGTGGGAAGGTGAGGGGATGAGAGTTCCAGTCCATACTCCTGGCAAGGCCTGAGGCTGCCAGTTACCCTTGCTACCCATGCCCCTCATCATTACCCCCAAAATGAGCAGACGTAAAGCAAACAAGAAAAGATTTATTTGTAATGAACATGGCTCCCTTTTGAGGCCTGCTCCTGGAGTTCGGGCAGCAGGCGGGTGGGTATGTGTGTGATTGTGACACGCATGTGGGCCTGGGCTCCCTCCCCATGTTCCACCGGGAGGGTGCCTTGGCAGGGAAGGAGGCAGAGGGGAAGTGGGGGTCTCTGAGAGGGTGGGGACGGAGGCTCGGTGGGGGGGAGGGTGTTGGCTTCATGCTGGTACTAGTTTGATTTATCCCTAATGAGTTCTCAGCACATGGCTGCTCCCGGCTCACTCCAGGGGCCAGCTCGGCCTCCCGCGGGCCCCAGCCCGCCCCAACTCCAGAACAGCCGCCGCTTGCTCAGAAAAGAGCCAATTTCCACACTGCACAGTCCGCTTCACTCAAGGGGAAATCACATTTCCCTGGGAGAGCCGCAGGCAGCGCTTCACTCCACAGCCTGGCTGCCTGCCACCGGGCACAGATGTGGAGGAGCCAGCCCAACCTCCCTTCTCCCCACCCAGAGCCCTGCTTCCCACCTCCCACAGCCCCGAGCCCCCAGCCCAGATCTGCCTCTCTGCCTCTGGGGCTTAGCCTTCGTGGCTATGCAGTAGTGGGAGAAGGGTGTGGTCCAGGGTCCAGGGGAGGCTGCTGACCACAAGGGGACTGTCCTCACATCATCTTCTAGCTGCCTTTAGGAAGTCAGGCATCTGGTTCAGGTTGAGGGGCTTAGAGATGCCGAGGAGGGGAGATGGTGGTGTGTGTGCATGTGAGCAGGGTGAGGGGGCTGGCTCCTGCCACTGGGAGATAACTACCTCCATGGCAGTGTCCCAGAGTCCCCCAAAGAGCCAGAGGAGGGGAGGAAGGCAGTGAGAGGACAAGATGCCCTGAGGTAACGAGATGGGTGAAGGAAGAAGTGCTCCGGGCACTTCTTGAGCACAGTGCAGGAGCTCTGAACCTTTGGGGAGCGTGCAGAAGGTGACAGGCCTAGGGGAGCACACATGGGCCACTTCAAATTTGTCTTTTTTTGGCTAAAGCTTGATTTGGGGAGGGTTTCTTTGGGGGCTGAGTAGAAACTATTTTTCATGTTTCTTTCTTTTCCATGGAGAAGGCATAAACACCTCTGTTCCAGTAAAGCCCTGACTGAATTTCTCCTCTCTTACCCCAGCCTTCCTCATCTTAGCAAAACTATTGAAGATGATGCCTAAAGCCATGTGGGCGCGTCACTCAGTCATGGTGGCCTCTTGCATACACAGGATGTATACAGGGCATTACTAGACTTCTAGATGGTTTTCTCTATTTGCCAGCCTGGAAGAACCCAGAGGGGTATAAGATGATTTTTCCTGTGCTCTGACACATACAAACTGAGGCAGAGGACAAATACAGATGGAAATGCTTGATGACCATAAAGAATATGGAGACTAGGGTCTCCCTGGTGGTGCAGAGGTTAAAGAAAGCACTATCAAGCTATCACCAGCCATTGTAGCACCAGTTCAATCCCCAGCCAGCCAGGGAGCAACCCACATGCACAGCAGACCTCTCCTGTCTTGCCTGCTGCTCCCCTCAGCAGTGCATTTCAGACAATCTGCATCTTCTGCTCCCTGCTCTGTCTGGTGAATCCTCTCACCCCCCGCACCTCTGGCTTACACCCCAGTTCTTGTATGCATAAATAAATAACTCTTTAAAAAAAAAGAGGATATGGAGACTTAGGACCAAGGATGGAGTGCATGGGAGGACCCGAGTACTCTGGAGCTCCACCCAGCTCCTTTCTCACTTGCCTACATGCTGAGTTCTGAGCTTTCATTCAGGCCCAGTGACCAACTTGGGAGTAGGAGGCGGTGCCCCGAGTGGCAATTTACTCTGTCCCTCTCCTCAAAGCAAAGGCAGGTGCTTGAGGTCTCTGCAGAAGCCTGGTCACATCCAGATTTAAGGCCTTAGATTAGGGAGCAGACTGTGGGTCCAGTTACTCTGAATGACCTTGCAAAAGTCACCTCTCCTCTCAGTTTCCCCAAACGCAAAGCTAGGCCCATGTTCAAGATCAGAGAGAAAGATGAAAGTGAATGGATTTTGTTAACAGAAAGAAACTGGGTCTCTGTGAAGAGTTATTATACTTTCTGAAGACTGGGAGGGGAGAGAGGTCAGTCAGGGTGAGGAGGGCAGGAAGGACACCCCAAGCCCTCTGCCTTGAAGCTCACTCTCAGACCCACTGACTAGGGGCACTGAGGCACCCAGATCCCTCTTCCTGCACCCACCCCTAAAGGACAAGGGAATCCCCATTGTCTTATCTTTGACCAACAGGCAGGTAGGGGTGTAGGGGTGTGTGTGTGTGTGTGTGTGTGTGTGTGTGTGTTTGGGGGAGGGAAGCAGGAGGGTGAAGGCAGCAGAGCGGGCAATGGGAAACCCCAGCAGGCTCCTCAGCTTCTCTGGTCTATTTCCTGACCTCTAGACTGTGGTCACTAACTCCTCCTCCTTGAGGCTATGGTGAGAGTTGAGTGTGCATCGGGCACATGAGGGGCAGACATTACATTTTTAGTAATGGCTCATGGCAAGAATATTGAAGATGTGAGGGGAGGGGTTGGAACCAGCCTGGGGCCAGCCTTGGAAGCAGAACTCCTAGCTGCCCCAGGCCCCATCGTGCTCACTGTGGGAAGTGGTCAGATGCTCCAAGTGCCACCTTGGAAAGATAGGTTATGGGTGCTGTCCAACCTGGTGGACCGGGCAGGGTTGGACAGGGGTACCTAGGAGGTCCAGGCACTGTAGACTGGCCTCTGGGTACAAGGAGGGTGGGAGGAGTGGAGGAGGGTGGTGAGGATGTTGGACCAGGGAGAGTAGCTAGGAAAGCTAAAGAGCCCTTTCACACAAGCAGAGCAGGGGACTGTCCCTGTGTGCCCTGGGGGTTTGGGGGCCCTCCATGCCTTGGGAAGGCCTGAGCCCCATACCTCATCTCCAGTTCTGCCAACACACTATTCCACTCCCATACACCTTCAAAGGAACCAGGTCCCGACTCTGCTACATGCCCCTTCACTTGCAGCAGCCCACACTCCTGCCCACACGCTTGTCATGCTCCAGGTTTCTCTCTTCATTTTCCTCTACTGTGCCTCCCAGTGTGCCTTTCTAACTTTACCCCACACCACCCCTAATTCTGGTGCACCCCAAATCATATCTCTCCCTCAATATTATTGATAACTATATTTTCTGAACCCCAAAGGGGAATCCAAGGACCATTGATAGGTCCTGGCCAGGACTTACTGCACTGGGGTCACACACCACTTTCCCCAACACCTGCTCTGGCCAGTGACCTGGGGTGCTCACCTCACCTCAGAGAAAGGGAGCTCTAAACATGGTCACCCACAGCAAAAGTACAGTACATGTCTGCCCCTCTGTGACTTGGGGGTTGGAGAGGTCTTCCCGGGGCACAGAGTGTGCCCAGAGGGGATTCTGGTGGTCAATGCAAAGGATTGCTCTGCAGGCTCTTAGGACACTTGGCATGTCAACGTGATTCCTGGGTGGGTGGGGTTCATTGTAGCCCCAGAACCAAGCACTCAGGAGCCCCAAAGGCCATGATCATGAGCAGCCTCAGATATAATGGGATTCAGACTTGCCACTGTGCTTGTGGCCAGGAAGTCCTATTGAAGAATGAGCCCCATATCAGCTCCCCTCAGAAGAGAAGGGGACTGGTTTTGTTTGTGGGAGGGTACCCCACTATGGCTCCACTCTTCTTATGCCATCCTAGGTGAGCACACTTTCCTTTGGGATGACCAGGGAGGTAAGAGCTCCATCTCTCAGGCCCGGATGCTCATCTTTGGAATCTCTATGTGGGGTGAGGAGAGCTCTGATGAAGGGTGAGGAGTCCCCTCTTCCATCTGACTCAATCCCAGTTGTTTGTTGTCAAACTGTCAATACTAACCTGGGCATCCAGCCAAGGCTCTGCTCATCCCGCTTGGGTGCCACCTGGAGATGGTCCACATAGACACTAGACAGCCCTGTGGGCCTAGCACCCCACTGGGCAGAACCCTTGTAGTCACCCTTATTGTATTTCCCCCCTTGTTCATCAAAATTTCTTGCAAAGGAGTTATCCTAAGTCTCTGTGTCTCCCTCACTGCTTCCTGGCCTTACCACCCAGTTCTCTGTCAAGTCTTTAGGACCAAACCACAAGAAACTAGACCTGGAGTGGCAGCCCCAGAACCTACACTGGGTCTAGACCTCTCTAGCATCCCTTGGTACAAGTGCTGGAATTAAGGAGAGAAGACTTGATTGAGTGCCCTGCTTCCCATGGTGAGAAAGTTATTTTGTTTTTTTCCCTCGACCTTAGTTTCCCTATATGTAAAATGGGGCTATTATCAACTTAATTTATGTGGGCCCTCCTCACTGTACCTGACATATAATGGAGCCTGGTAAAGATCTTCTCCCTTCCCTCCCTCCCACTACAGGGTCGCAGAGATGTTTATGTGGGCTCCAGCACTGAGCTACTCCTGGATCTTTTTGCCAGCGCCCCTCTGGCCCCCCCAACCCTGCTGCCACTCTAGCCTCCTGTTTGTAGTAGCAACTACTGGTGTGGAGTGTGTGGTTAGCCTGGCACCATATACGTGCTCATTTTATCTTCACATTTACTCAGAGCTGGAGAAATCAAAGCTTGCTGGGAGTGAGTGGTTTGTTGGGTGTTGAACATCTACTAAGGGCATTGGGAGGTGCTAAGCGAGAGTCCTTGGGCAGAGATAGGCCTTTCAACCTCAGCCCCACAGTGGGCTCCCTCACCCCTGGGCCCAGAGGTTCTCTGCAGAAAAAGCCTTAGAGGAAGAGCAATGGTTTATTGAGTCATGTGGCAATGGTGGGTTATCTTTCGAAAAGAAAGAAGCATCAAGGAGAGAAGCCCAACACGCAGGGAGACAATTCACTGAGAGGCCAAAGTCTGGGTAGGAAGGAGGGAAGCTTGACCCAAACAGCTTCATTTACAGTATTTACAGTCAGGCCTTGGGGGCAAGAGCTCTGTGTGGGGGCAGAGCGGGAACCTCCACTGCTGGCTTCCAGGGTTGCCTCCTGGGCTCTTCCGTTGCTGTGGGCTTGGGCTGCAGGCAGCACGCTTACGCTGGCTTGGCGGGGGCTGTTGGGAGAGGGAAGCGGGCCCCAGCAACTCCACCTTGCTCTGCCTGGGAGGTTGCACCTTACCCCCCAGGAGCCAGAGGCCCTTTGGAAAGTCCGTCTCAAACTGTGGATGACTGGCAGGAGAAAATCTGGGGTGCACTTGTATGTTCACAGCAACAGGCAAAAAGTAGGTGTGCTGGCCACTGGATCAAGCTTCCGGTTGACTGGACCCAGCCCACAGCCTGTGGTCATGAAAGAGGAGCAGGAAGACCAAGCTGGCAGAGCAGAGGTGGAGATCCAGAGGCTCGGCTCAGGGGTAGGCGGGGTGACTTGCAGAGTGGCTGAGGGAGAGCCTTGTCATGGGCTCTGGCTTGTGGGTTGGTTGAAAGCGCTTATCACTCACGACTGCTACAGTGTGTTGATGACGGAGCCACAGAGGTGGCCTCATGTACCTCTAAGCCCACTGCAGGCCCCACTGGCCACCCCTTCCAGTGCCTCAGTTGTTGCCTTTTCTCTCCACATTTCTCCTCCAACTTTGTCTCTCTGGGAATGGGACAGTTCTCACTGCCTAGGACTCCCACCCTCATGAAGGAGTCTTGGAGGACAGTTTGGCCTTCTGCAAAGTCATCCTGTCTTTCATGGTTCATTAAGTCAACCACACAAGGAGTGAGCCGCTGGACTTGTGGTTATTTTTCATGTAATAAATAAAGATTCCTTTGTGTGACTCTCTGGGGCCTGTCCCAGGCCGAGTCCTCCTGTTGCTCGGTGGCTCCCACTGTCCCCATGGCAACTACAGATGGTCAAAGGCCGTAGCGGTGGTGGGCGGCGCGCTTGGCCTTGATGTGGAACTGTAATAATATGGGGAACCTGGACACATTAAAAAAAATAACAACACTGCTGGTCAGAAGGGGAAATTGCACCATAGCCTTCCCTGGCATCTGCTAACCTTTAAGACAGCACAAGTTAATCATTTATCCTTCTGGCCTATCAGATCATCAAAGATTAACTCCTCTCTAGGCCTGTTTCCTCCTCTGGCCTCACCTTTGAATTTCTGGCCAGAATGAGAATAGTTGCTTCTTATTTCTCCCCCCCCATGATTGCTTTGACCTTCAACACCCTGTTTCAGGGTAAGGACAACTGGGAACAGTTACATCTGGAACCCCAAGAACCAAGCACACTGGGGGCTCACTGGGGCCTTCCCTAGCCTTACCCAAACAGTGTGAGGTCAGAGAATCTTCTGTGTAGGGCCCAGGGGGACTAGAATCCTGGCTGCTCAAGGGGGATTGGGTTTGAGGGACTCCACAGGGGGCTCTGCTCCACCTGCAAGGTCAGTACGGGAGGCCAGGAGGGAAAGCCCTGAACCCTGATGCATCTCAATCTTTCTGGCTAAACTGAACAGAAAAGCAGCTTGGAGTTGAACTTCTCTGGCAATCACAGCCCAGGTGAGCCACCTTTCCAGTCTTTTCTGGAACATCAGGAGGTAATGAAAGGAGAGTGTGTTCCTGGTGTATGGTGGTTCTCCCAGGCCTGTGATATGTCTGTGGAGACAGCCGCACTTGCACCACTACTTCTCTCTGGCCTGGTTTGCTCTGTAACCTCAAGGTCATCACTCAGGGCGATTCCAGAGGGATTCTTCCAGGTTCCCATGTATGGGATTAGTTTCCTAAAAGTGTTCTCTACCCAGCTCAGAGTACCAGTGTTAGAGGAATGAAAGGAGGCCTCAGACTTCATTCTTTGGACCTTGATCTTGAATGTTGTCCAAATATTAGGACCATGGTGGAACAAATGATTTCCATGTAAGCGTACTGATGCTGAGTCATGAGTATTTGTAAGCCCCTGAGATAATTCATGTCGGTGGTAGGAAGGCATTCTTTGTAATCAGCATGCTCCCAAGAAGGAGAGCAGCTGGCACCCCTAAAGGGAGCTCCTGGGGCAGTGTCTGACGTGAGCCCTGAAGGCAGAAAGCCTACCTTTAGACTTTTCTTGAACCTACCACTGCCCTCCCTGGAAAGACCTGAACCCTGAGTCTAAAACAAAGGTTGAACAGACATGGCCTTGGGTAGCAGGTGGAAGAGTGATAAAGGGATGTCTCCTGCTTCTGCCCTCTTCCCTGGAACAAGGAGGTATACTGCCCTTCCCTCTACCTTTGTGGATTACCAATAACACCTGTCTTCCCAGCCCTCCCTCTAACCTGGGCCTTCCAGTTTTCAGACAACTTTGAACCAGTCTTGCACCCCCACCCTGTCCTGTAAAGCAGAGGGCCTGGGCAGCCCCAGAGGTGACTTACTCAGCAAGCTGGAGTTGGGGAAGCGCCAGGCCTCGCCATAGGAGGAGTAGGGGGTGTGGCCATAGGTGTTGCCAGAGTATTCACTTCCTGTTGGAGGTACAAAAGGGAGAGGCCTGTGAGGCAGAGGCCTGTGAGGCAGACGCACCAATGTGGAGGTAAGGAGAAGGATCTGCAGGGCTGGCATTGGGAAATCCCTGGGGGACTGGTAGAACCAGGCAGAGACAGTGGGAGCTCAGAAGGCCCTCCATCAACCCTTTGGGGGCCTCTCAGTCTGCATCATTTTGGATCATACCCTCTTTGCCAGGTATTGGAGTCACCACTCTGACACGCTCAACCCTCACAGGAGCCCCAAGAGGTAGATTTTATCATCATGCCCATTTTCCAGATGGCACAGCAGACGCTGAGGATTGCAGAAGCTTCCAAAGCTGCAGGGTCTGGTGGAGTTTAGGGGCTGTGCCCAGGGCAGCCTGGAGCTTCTGCAGAAGGATCTTTCCAAGAGCGGCTGACGGGGGTGAGAGGAGGCTAACCTCTGTCAAGGAAGCAGTAAGTCTAAGCTTTTCAGATTGCCTCAGTGTGAGTTTTCTAGGAAGGAGGGGTATGGGTGTGTGTGTATGGAAGGGATGCTGAGGACCAAGGGTGGGAGGACAGTGGCCCTTGGGGGCACGTCTTGGGGACTCATGTTCTGACACTTGCTCCCAGGTGTTGGTTGTCTGACACCAAGTCTGCCACTTGGAGTAAACTCAGTGCATGAATTTATACAAAATAGATGCAATCACTTCTTTCTGTGAGTGGATTCTTGACTGTACTAGAGGAATTAAATTTATCAAAGAAATTACTTAAGAATTTCCTGAAACAACAACAAAGTCGAGCAAGGCACCACAATGGTACTTAGTATGAAGCTTGAAGTTGGCAAGCACTTGCCCACACGCTGAGTCCCTCACTCTCACTGCCATCCCAGGGAGCACCCATCAACATGGCCAAGTTACAGAGAGGACACTGCAGTCACTCAAATCACACTGCTGGTAAATGGCAGAGCGCATCTTAGGGCTCTTAACTTCAAATTCCAGATAATCTTTCATGCATTTATGAGATGAGACTCCTTATACAAAGTCAGGTCCCTGCAACCCAGAAATTGATGAATGTTCACACCACCATTCAGACTCTCAACTCCTGTTTTGAGCAAGCACCTTGTATGGCTCTTCCACTCCTTTGCAGGCTCAGGAAGGGCAGCTTGAAACTGCTTGGCTCTGCAGCTGACTTGTTGGAGACAAATCCCAACTCCCCACTTCCTGGCTGTTTGGACAAATCACTTGACCTTTCTGAGTCTTGGTTTTCTCATCTGTAAACAGGGCAAATTCTTGTCCCTACCTTTGGGTTTCAGTGAGGATTAAATTAGCTAATACACATTAGATTCTGAGTACTATGAAGCACTCAAGAAATGTCAGCTTTTATTACTTTCCCATTAAGCGGACGCTAAAATAAAGCCCAAGGGAGGCTCAAATTAGTTTCAAAGTTTGGGTTGGGGTCAGGGGAGTCACTTCCTTGCCAGAGGAAAAGGGGGGACCCCTTGAAGCAGAGGCAGGCGCCTGCATCCCTTCCTTGTCTAGGGAGTAAGTGATAGGCATTAACAGGAAGCTCCTCAGGCGCAGGGACAGGTCCAACTCACATCAGGAACAGAAAATCTATGTGTGAAAGGGAAGGAAGGAGGGAGGGGACAGGGATAGAAGAAAGGAGGAAAGAGTACAAAGGAGAAAAAAAAAAACTAAGAGATGATCTAATTCACTTACTGATTTCATAAATGAAGAAACTCAACTCACAGGGGGAAGATTCCCCCCCCACCTCAAAGTTTCAGGTTCAACTGTCAATTGCACTAGAATCCTTAGGCCCCACTCCAGGGTTCTTTCATGCATCCCACAAGGCGGAGTGCCCCGTTTACTGCTGGTGTACCCCAGATGGGATTTCCCTGGCTTCAGTGATTCTACACTGGCTCCACAAAAAGGACCTCTGTGCTTTAACTCTACCTCCCCCAACCCACCCCCCAGAAACATTGCCATCCCTAAAGGACAAGCAAGAGGGATAGAAAATGCAAGGTGTTCGCCATGTCATTTTGTCACTTACTCACTCCTCTAATTTACGGAGCACCTATCTGTTTCAGTCACATGAAGGTGGCACACTCATGGATGCAGCACCTTCCCACCACCAGCCCTCTCATCTGCCAGCAGTGGATGAAATGTCCCAGCACCCAAGAAAGGCCTCCACTGTCTCTTCATCCAGTCCCACTCACCTTCCCAAGTACTTGGCCCCTACAATTTATCCCTTCTTTTTGCTGCTTCATCAATCTCTCCCTTTCTAATTCATCACTCCCTTCAGCCTGCGAACTTGCTGTTCTATCTTTTCTTAAAAATCCTCATCAGACCCCACCTCCCACTCCAGTTTCCAGTCCCTTTCTCTGCTACAAGGTCTCTGCCTTCCCTCTCTGATCAGGCCAAGGTAAATCCCCACAAATTCCTGCAACCACGACCCTGCTCATCCCAGTGGTCACTTCTGTGCCACCACCTCCTCTTCACTATTACTCCCTCTGAGATTTTGTGACATTCAATCTTATGGTTTGCTTCCCAACCCATTGTGCTTCCCTCTCGCTCTCCGTTCTGGTTCCTTCTCTGCTGGAAGTCTGAATGTTGCAGAATCCCAAGGCTTAGTCTGTGAGCCTTCTGTGCTTTTGCATTCCCAGTCTCTCTCCAGTGATCATGTCTACTCCTGTGGCATGAAATAACAGCTATGTACAAGGGCTGAAAATTACGCCCTAGTCAGAATTATCTCCTGACTTCAGACATACATCCTATGCCTACTGACCTATTAAACTGGGTATCTAGGAGGCACCTCAATCCTAATATGGCCAACTACAGCTCTTGATTTCCACCTTCACACACTTGACTCTTCATTGCTAATCTCTCACATATATCCTTGTTACCACCACCATCCATGCAGTTTCCTAAGCCCCAGACTGACGAGCCATCCTTGTTTTCTCTGATTTTGAACTTCTACCAATCTCTACTAATCAACCCAACTGACCAGCAAGTTTTGTTGGCTCTACCATCAAAATATATCTTCAGTGTCTCTTTTCTCCTCCTTCACTGCTACACCTAGTCCAAGTCACTGTGAACTCTTAAATGAACTACTGCAATTACTGCCCCTCAATGGGTCTTTGTGCTTCTCTTGACCATCTGTAACCATGTCCCCAGCAGCCTGAGCAGTCTTAAAATCTGACCCAGCCACCACCAACATCTCATTTTTGTAGTGCTCTTCTCCCTCACTCTCTGTTCTTGGATATACTTACCCTCTTTCTGTGTGTGACTATGCTAAACTGGTTCCTGCCTAGGGGCCTTTGCACTTGCTGTTCTTCTGGTCAGGGGATGATCTGCCCCAGTTTATCACTTGGCTGACCACTTTGAACACCTTCTCAGAGAAGCCTCCCCTGATCACCCAATCTAAAGTAGTTATCTCTTCTCCCTGTGGCTCTTAATATATCATCCTACTTTATTGTCTTCACAGTACTTATCACTATCTGAAATGATCTCATTTATTCATTCTTTGATTTATTTACTGTACTTTTTCTCTATGACTAGGTTGCAAATTCTATGTCTTATTCACTGTTGTATCCACAGCAACCAGAAAGTAGATTCTCAACAAAATTTTTGTTAAATGAAAAGGAGGTGAATACATGGCAGGATGCAAAGACAGATGGAAGGGTGCAAGATGGACAGATGGATAATGGAAAGATGAGTAGACGAAAGGATGGGTGGATGGATGGGTGGGTGGATGGGTGGGGAGGTGGATGGATGAATGAATAGAAGGTGAGATAATAGAGGGACAGAAGAATGAATGAGGAGATGTATGGAAACATGTACATATAAATAGATGGAAAGATGAATGGATGGATCCATGTATCTGGAGTTCTCAATTCAGTTCCAGAGCTGATGTGAGGGTCATTAACTGTGTTAATGGAGCAGGGACAACAACAATAACAACAACAACAATTAGAGGGCAAAACTGAAGATGAATGGACAAGAGAAATTTGTGTCTTGGTCCTATTCCTACTTCATTCTCCTATGACTTGCGTGATAGGAGGTGACATGGAGTAGGAGAAAGAGCCCTGGATTTGAAATTCATGACCTGTGCTTGAACAGCTCAGTCACTTAGTACAGCGATGATCAGGAGGGCACTACTTTTCTTTTCTAAGCTTGTTTCCTTATCTTTATAAAACTAGGTTAATACCAGCCACCCATGGTGAGTATTAAAGGAGAAATTAAGTTCTAGCTATGAATGGCCAGGCACAGAGAAGTGCATAATACATGATCTCTTCCTTCCTTCCACCAGTTGGTTAAGAGTATCATTGCCGGGCCTCCCTCATGGTGCAAGAGGTTAAGACGCAACCTATGAAGCTAGCTACAGCCACTGCAGCATGAGTTTGATCCCCGGCAGCCAGGAAGCAACCCACATGGCAGAGCAGACCTCTCCTGACTCGCCCGCTGCTCCCCTCAGCAGTGTATTTCAGTAGATCTGCCTGTTCTGCTCCCCACTCTGTCTCTGTGAATCCTCTCACCCCCCACACCTCTGGCCTGTACCCCAGCTCTTGTATGCATAAATAAATAAATTTAAAAAAAAAGAGTGTCATGCCATGCCTTGCTTTACACATTTATTATGTACCTAACACACAGTAGGTGTTCCATGAAGATTTATTGATTTTAATGGAAGGCATCCCCACTTTGTCAACCAGCAGATTGCTTCCACCACTAAGAGATGGACAATTTTTTTTACAAAAAAAAGTTTCCCTAAGAATTCATCTGCACCACAGAGTTCTTAGGAGCCAGGTGATGGATTTAAATAGCACTGCATTTTCTGAAAACCGATTTGCACGTAACTTACCAGGTGCTTATCCACCTTGCTAGGCAAGGCTCTTCCCTTTTGCAATTCATTTGCAGTAGATGCCATGGTTGTGTTATTTTTTTCCAAACACCCATGCAGGAGTAAGTCTTTCTGGAAACAACCTGGGGGCGTTTGTGGGAGGCCAAGCCTTGTAGCTACCTCACAGGTCAGATCCTGAACCCCAGGAACCCTTTGCCCTGGGCCTGCCCTGGGAGAATGATTCATAATTAAGAGGAAAGCCCTGTGCTTTATGTTTCTTCCTCCTCCTCTAAGCAGGCAGCAGGGGAAGGTGGAGAGGTTGGAAGGGGGATGGGGGGAGTCGGCTGGAGCCTGGGATTTTGATTGAGAGGCCCCATTATCCACACTCTTAAAAAAATAACCGAATCTTTTCCTTTTTTATCTTGACCAATCTCATTTCACGCTCCAGAAGAAGAAGGGAGGGAGGGAGGGAGTCTGGGCCAGGAGGGAGAGAGGAGTCAGTATTCTGTATTTTCAACGCTGCATTAAGCACATCGCCACGGTAACCAGGCAGCAACAAGTGCCAGCTCAGCAGGTTCCCAGGGAGCACAGAGCCTCCTTCCCTCCCTCACTTCTCCCATCCCTCCGCCCAGGAGAGCACAGCACACCTGCCTCAGCACAGGGCACCCAGAGTGGGTGGCTGGCAAGTAGTAATGCCTGCTGGAGAAAGTGGAATGTGCTAAGTCTCTGGGGTCAGAGCCAGGGAGGCTGGCCAGGGCCAGCATGGTGGTCAAGATAGCATGAGTTCCGAACTCCTTGTAGAAGTTCCAGGCCCTCAGGTCTCTCTGGGCAGTGGAAATAGTTTATTCCACCCTACCCCTCCTTGGGTCCTTCCTATTTGGTTCCTAAAAGAGTGAGATTTGTTTTCATCCCCCACCCTGGGTCACTGTTGGGTGACGATCATGCTGGTAGACAAAGAAACTCAAATGACCAATGACCAGCAGGCAAGACAGTCCAAATGATCGTGGAGAAATATTCCCAGTTCCTCTCATGCTCTGCCATACCTTTGGAGAACCTAGAACCTGAATCTTACCCATGCGTTCTTGAGTGAATGTAGATATGAGGGAGAATATATTCCAACAGTCTTCATCATCATCACCAATGCTATTAATACTCAGGCTTTTCAGAAAGGTAAGCTGAGTTTCATCCTAATTAAATAACCGGGGGCCTGTGGGTTGCTTAAGGACCAGGCTCTATTAAGTGCAGAGTATTTGGCTGGCCTCTAGCGCATGCTCCATCATTGCATTAAGAGAAGAAGTGGTAGAGCTTGGATTTGAGTACTATCTGTCCTACCCTTCTCTTTTCATCAGGATGGGTAGTGTGGGAGCATCTGGAAAGGAGAAGGCCAAGCTAGGGAGAGTTAAGGAGCCAGAACTGCCCTGAAACACTTTCTTCAAGCATTTATGAGAAGATACACCCTTTAGCTCATCCTTCAATGCATGGGACATACCTACTTCTTGTCCCCTCCTGCCCCACCATCTCCAGCACTTCCCCTCTTGCCCAGCCCCTCCCCTTACCTGCCACCATGCCTGCGATGGCAGAAGAGGCATAGCTGCCCTGTCCACTGGTGGGGATGTGGGGTGGGTATCCAGGCAGCGTGGGCCCCACCATCTCTCGCCCTGGAAAAATACAGCAAGGAATCATCAGTTGGGCCATAGTGGCTTCATCTTGCTCCCCTGAGGCTCCACAAGCCTTCCCACTCTCTCCAAGACCATTTTCCAAACCCACTTCCTCCTTCCTCCTCTGAGCCCAAGTTGCTCTTTCCTTGCACTGATCTTCTAGAAGACACAGGTTCCACCAGGCAGGGAACACTTACTATTACAGTTCTTTGTTCTCCAGTGATTTTATTTATGAGAATTTATTTATCCATGAAAATGTCATGGTATTAGAGGGAGCTTGAGGGCTATGTCTTCTAGGTTTTTCTTTATTCCCCACAACATCCAGCATAATGTTGGTACAGCTGGACTGAATGAGTAGAGCACATGGCACCTGACTCAGAGCTCACATTCCTTTCAGCCCCAGCTCTGAGGAGAACCAAGAATAAGGCCTCAACCAAGAAGTGTTGGCACAGGTGTGGCCTCCAGTCCCACTGCTATCCTTCTTTGAAGCTGAAGCAGACACTGCTAATCAATCACCGCAGACTTTCCCACTGAGCCAGAGAGGTTCCTACTGCTTAACCTGGCCTTCTCAGGGGATACAACCTGTTAGTTGTGAGGGACAAGAAATCTACTGGCTGTCTCTGAACTGCAAATGAGATGTGGATTGAGAGGTACTTAGCATCAAGTCCATAAACCACACATCTGTCAATTCCATTACTGAAAAGAACCACTTTCAGCAAAATAGATAACCATTTCTCTCTTTATTTGTGGATCATATCCTAGGTTTGGTGACACTGAGGCAGTTTTGGAAAGTCCTGATTTCCCTGACTCTACCTCCCCTCTACATGAGGTTGTCAAACTTTCCCATTTTGGAGATCCCATCCCGCTTCTTCCCCTGTCCCTGTGCCCAAGTTCCAAAGGCCCTGATCAGACTCTCCCTCACCCAGGGATTCTTTGCAAAGTGCCAGTGCATCCTGGTCTGCCACTGTATGGCCACTCTCCCCATAGGTGTGTTTATTTAAACAATGCCCATTTCATTGTCAAAATGCCTATTTTGAATGATGAATTATTTGGTTATCCTAGTTCTTTGGTGATGTTTACAGGGTCAACCTCAGCTCTATTTGCATTCGGGGCTGGATAATTCTTAGTCATGGGGACTGTCCTGTGCTTTGTAGGATGTTTAGCAACATCCCTGGTCTCTGCCTGTTGGATGCCAGTTGCAGCTTCCACCTAGTATGACAATCAAAAATATCTCTAGATTTTGCCATATATTCCCAGGGGGCAAAACTGCCACTGGTTGAGAACTACTATATTAAATTATGACCATTTTACCCAAATGCCTCCTGTATCTCCCACACTGGGGGCTGCTTTTTCTCCTAAGACTTACATGGGTTCCCCATGGCCCCTATCCATTTACTGGTGCATCACCTCTTTGGCAATGTTTGTCCAACGTCCCTCCCATCAAATCCCCTGGAGGTCCTTAATATTTCAGCACCTTAGGGGGTCTGATAATGATGGAAGGGAAGGTATAGCACCTGGAACTTTCATGTTGTCAATACTAGAGTAACTACTCCTTACCTCTCTTTCTGATGATTTTTTGAAGGCAACTTGTTCATTCTACAAAAGCTTATTGAATATGATGTACTCTATCTCCTTTTCTGAGTACTTGGGGATAGGGCAGTAAGCAAGAGTGCTAAATTAGCCAGGCCAGACCCTAAGTCAAGATGGACATAGGCTGAGAGAAGCATCCAGAGCCAAGCCTAAGGGAATATAAACAGGACCAGCCCTACTGGGCTTCTGCCCTTCTGTAGTGATGGGCCTACAAATTAGAGGATGCAAGTCCTTATCCAACTTTTTTATCACTAATTTTCTACATGGATTAGACCAGCCATCTACATACCACCAAACCTCGGTTTCTTTATATGAAAAATGGAGAGAAAAGAGTAGCTGTGTGCACCTTATTATTACTATGATGTTATCAATGTAATTCACAGCCAGGGTTTCAAGTGGACTTTGAGTAGTGCAATGGGTACCCTCTACAAACTGTAACATATCAAGGGAGCCCTTATACATTAAATTCTATTTGAAATGAGCCATCAGTGTTCATTATCTAAAATCATATGAATGTTTTGGTAAAAATGAACACCACCCACTAATTTGTTTTACCTTTTGTACAACATCCAGCTATGGCTGGGGCTGGACCAAAGAAGGTAGAGCCCACTAGAATGCTACAGGTGATTCAGTTCGCTTGACACAGGGTCCAAACAAATAGGGGTTGTAGACACAGGTGAGGTAAAAGGAAATTTAGTATATGTAAGAAGCTTGACAAATATGCAGAAAACACAACAAGATAAAATCTGATCTTTCTTTGAAGAAGAATATAAGACGACCAGCTCTCAGACTCGGTCCCTCGGCCCCTGCATGAAGCACCTGGTTAGGAGCCGGAGCTTATGAGAAGGAAGGGGTGATATGAAGTCTGAAGGTGTGGGTACAGGGGCTGGACAGGTGGTGTCATAGAAAGTGACCCTTAAGAGGGTGGCGGCAAATTTAGGCCCTTTTCTTCTCTCTCCTTCATCCTCCTTGCTCATGGAAGAGAACTCAAGGTCCAGGCCAGATTGTGGCTGAGGAACAAATTATTTATTCTTCTGAATCACATTTCTCCTCCTTTCTCATGTGGAACTATTCTAGAGACTGGATTAGCTAATTTATTACCTGATTGATTGGTAGGGGCTTCCTGTGCTGAGAAGGATTCTGAGGCTGCATCTGCATCGACCATGACTGGGTCTGGGGTGGAGAGGGAGTTTGGCTCTCAGGTCACCTATCTGTAGTGCTGGTCTAGGTAGTCTGGGCTCCTCTGACCCTGGAGCCCTGTGGTCACGTGCTCCCCTTTCTCCTGCTCTCACCCTGTCCTTTTCTATCGCCTAACCTGCAGTTTCTTGAGTGCTGCAGCGTGGTGGGCAGAGCACCGTACACCGTCGCCTTAAGTCACAATTTAATTTAGTCACAGTTGCCTCCATGGGGCCCTATTCCATGAGAACTAGGCCCTGTTACTCTCGGAAATTCATCATCTTCACTCCCCTGTATTCTGTGATTTAAATCTTCATCTCTCCTCAATCGCCTAATTTTCTCCCAGTGGGGCAAAGGTTTCTGACTCAAACTCAAGAGCAGACTCCTGCAGGCTTCCTCCCATTAAACTCGGCCTGCCTTCCTCAGGGAGGACCTTCACCTATCACGGGACCAAACACGCTAGCAGTCCAGAATCTCTTTGCTTTGATTCCTTAAATAACATGGTTTCTTCCTCCCATGTCAAGAACCTTGCAAGATTCTTAGAAATAAAAGTACAGAGACCATGAGATGGTGGGCCTCCATCATGGCTTGACCATGTCCTTTAATCTATTTATTTGTAAGATTCTTCATCATAAGTTTATTGTCACCAGAAGTTTATCATTCCGTTTTCTCTGCACTCAAATAGACTTCTAGCCTGGTCCTATTTTAAAAAGCAGACATAGGAGACTCAGGCTCATGTTGGCTGGTTGTGAAGTGGGGGTTCTATAAGAAAACACTAGCACCCCCAAAATACTGTTAAGTTTTCCAAATAGTACTAGACACCAGCATCAGAAAACCATTACTTGGGAGGAATTCAGAGGGCAGAGGTGATTTCAGACAATTTGATGGGCCCCCTTTGATGTCTGCCCTCTAAGGAACCCCTTTTCAATTCCTTATCTTGTTCTGATAGCAAGGAGAATTTATGACAATCCAGAAATCTCTTTGGTAGGACTAAATACAATTTTTCACAAGGGATGGAGGCGGGTAATGGGCTCTTTGATGACAGAACAGACTCAGAGCTTTCTGATCAGTAGAGCTGGGGTCAGCCTGGAAGAGGCAGCACTAGGACGGGACCTTAGACTGCAGCACATGAGGGAAGCCGGTGGGAGTGTTGGGTGTAATCCCGCTGCTCCCCAAACCCTGATATTCTTTCCTGGCTGATGAGGGAGAAGCTGAGTCCCCAAGACAGTCACTGTGGAAATCACAGGATCAGAATCACTCACTAGGCAGGAGAGGACGTGTCCCCAGGGGAGGCAAAGGTAAGGCAGGAGATGACGGCAGGGAGCCACACAGGCAGGAGAGCCATCAGCTTCTCCCCTCTCTGCGGCATCACCTGGGAATAATCTGGTCTTGGCTTTCTTTCCCTTTTTAAATATTCACTTATTTCTCCTTGAACAGGTTTCTAAACCCCCAAACTGTGGAGGGTCACAAACTGTGATCCTCTTCCTCCCTGCCCTGTCCTGCAGCTTTCTCACCATGGCTCAGCCACATGGTAGGTATTTAGGTGCCGTCTGACCTAAGGCTAGAGGTGGACAGTGTAAAGGAGCTCCAGGCCAGCTCCCCAAGCTCCCCACAGACACCTGCCAGCGGGGCCTTGTGCTGTGGCTACAGGGCTAGCAACTTTGTCAACCGCAGCCCTGCCTTACGCTCTCCTCTTGGCATCCTGCCTGGACTCAGTTCCCTCAAGTCTGGCACTGCTTGCTCTTTTCATAGTCCCTGCTTCTGTCCTGTGTCTTCAGGCTATGAACTAGGCCCTGTGGCTGCCACAAGCTTCATGGGATCATATCCTGCATGTCAACATTGGCCAGGTATGGCACTGGGGCCAGCATATGTAATGCTGCAGATTTGCTCCCTGCTGCCTGCCTGAACCCTGGTGACTGCTGCCAGCTGCTTTGCCCCTGGGAGGGCATGGGGTACATGCCCTCCCAGTCCTGCAGCTCATCTGCAGAGCAGGCATGCCCACCAAGAACTGACAGAAGTTGGAGGAACCCCTCCTCCTGATTTGATTGGATATTGGCAGTGGGTGCTTTAAGCCCTACAGGGGTGACAGGTACAGGGACAAGTAGGGGCTTTGAAACTGGGAGCTTTCCCTGGGCTGTTCCAGCTACGCTTTACCACCACGTAAGACTGTCTGATGTACCAGTTCTCCCTGCCATCTGTCCTTCCATTTCCGCTGAGCTGTTCCTGCCCAGCCTTTCCATTGCTCTAATAGTAACTGAAGGACTGCTCCCCACCATCACAAGCTTCCTTCACAGCCTCATGCCTTCCCAGCTTCATCACAGCCCTCCTGGCCCTGGCCTTCATTCACTGGGGCAAGCAGGCTGGTGCGTGAGGGCACTGGCCCATCCCCAGCAGTGGACACCTCTTCACGCCCCTCCCCATCCCACATTCTCTGGCTGACAACACTCCACTCAGCTCAGAGACTTTTCTCCTTTAATCACTTTAGTCAAAACAAATGGCCCATCTCTTTGAATGTACCCTGTTTTGAAATTTTGAATTGTGACTCAACCTTTTCTTCCTTGCCTCAGACCCTACAAAACTGCCTCTCTGCCTACACACTGGGCTTTATTTATTAAACCTTTGCTTCTGTGTGTCCACCTTTTCCAAGAGAACCGCCCTCATTAGATAAGGGGTGCACAGAGGAAAAACGCTCCCAGGTGCCAGCCAGACAGAAAATGTTGAGTCAGTTATAAGAAAGGGTTGATGAAACCTGAATAAGATGACCCTGTGCTTCCTCTGGCTCGATAGAGGTCTTTTTCTTCTGGGGCAGTGGTTTTCAAGTTCCAGGTCTTTCAGGGGCAGGGCTCCTACTTCATTTTGTCTGGTTTGAATATCTGGCTTCCGTAAAAGCCTTCCCTTCAAAAGGTTGTTGTCAGGCCCAACAAGTTTGAAAACCAACTGGTTCAGAAGAGTAGGCCACTTTTGGCTTCCTCTGTGGGTACAGGGTCAATGCCTTGGGCCAGATCTAAAAAAGTCTCATGTCTGTGGAAGTCCAGTAAATAGCTGAAGACTATTAAGGGTCTCTGTCCCTTGACACTCAACTCCATCTCAGGCTTCTCCTGCCCTAGCTGAACACCTTGATTCTCTTGGTCTTGGCCACTGCTTAAGCCGTGGCTGGACAGGTGTGAGTCATTTTCCAGAAAGACCCACCTCTGCCCACGCCTGATGATAGGGTGCACACAGGCCGAGCTCTTACCCTGCTGGACACCACAATCCTGTTCAGGCCGTCTCCCTGGACCCATATCCCATCAGTATAATCAGAAATTTGTTTTACATACCCCTTAAGGTGCTTCTAGCCTTAAATGTTTTGAGGTCAATGAGATTTCTGATGGGTGGGTCCTCCTGCTCCCCCATGTCTCAATGGTGGGTCACCCAGCTTGAGTGTCCTCCAAGGGTGGTGACACTGCTGAGCTGGGTACAGTAAGAGCTACAGAATGGAGACCCAACTGGATGTTCTCTATTTTCAGAAATTGGCTCCAGAAATTGGCTCCAAAAGCCTTTCTCCTTCAAAGCTTCCTGTCGTTTTTTCATTTTTTTACTCAGACCAAGTGCTCGCACGTTGCCTCGCCTCCTTCCTGGCCTCAAGATCCCTGCTCTTCCATGGGGTTTTGGCGGGAGGTTCTGGAGCCCGGCCAGGCACTCTACTTCCTGGCATCCTCTGCACGCCTGCCCCCCACCCCTGATTGCCAACATGGACAACCTCATATTGGCATCTTCAAAAGCTGCTGGAGCAATGAGGGGAGAGGGGCACTGTGGACTGGGCCGGGGGTCTGCGAGGCAGCTGGAAGCAAACCCGAGGCCTGGCAGCTGGCACTGACGACCCCCCTCCCGCGCCCCCGCGACACCTCAGGGCCCAGGGCGGGACCTCCCTGTCGTACCTGAGAGAAGGGCCTGGCCCGTGAACTGCCCGTACACGGAGGCAGCATGGGGAAAGGCATTGAAGGGCGGGACCGAGGCACCGGCTGGGACCCCGGAGCCGACTTGCTGCAGATCCAAAAAGGCGGAGCTAGATAAAGAGGAAGGGGTGGAGCTAGAACTGGACACCTCGGGGGTTTCCTGCTTTATGGCGAAGGGTGAGTGAGGATCTGCCGGAGGGAGGGAGACAACAAGGAGAGAGGGATGTGAGATGAAGGGTGGGAACATGCAAAAACCACCATGAGATGTGGGGTGGGGTGGGGGGTGGGGTGCAGAGGCAGGCAGGCTGGGGTGCCTCTGAGTCTGGGGGGAAGGGTGGGGGGCTAGGAGGGGGGTGGGGAGAAGGGTAGGCAGGGTCAGGCTCCTCTGATCCAGGGGTGACATGGGAGCTGCGGGGGTGTTCCTCAGTTGAGTGAGAAGCCGGGAGGAGCTCTGCCTCCCTGTGTGCCTCTACTAGTGTGGGTGGAGGGCTGCGAGGCGCCCTCTCCCCCCCGTCAGCCGCGGGAGAGGAGGAGGAGGAGCCAGGGTAGAGCATCACCCTTTTGACCTGATTTGAGGCTCAGCCAGCACCATCCACCGCTCCTTGCCAGGCCCAGAGCCCTAATCCCTTCCTCCTCACAGCCAACCAGCTCTGCCTTGGCCTGCCCTCCAGCCCATCCTCACAGCTGGTTCCCTGTGGCCCGGAGATTCTGGGCATCCTACCTGCCACCACAGGGTAGGTCTGGTGAGTAGAGTGGTTGCGCCCCAAGGGTGTGTTGGACGGGGTCAGGGTGGCCTTCCCGTCATCCAGGGCACTGTTGAGCAAGGGCAGTGGGTAGAGGCCCTAGGGAACAAAGAGAAGTCAGTGCACAGGGACACCCCTGCAGTGAACTTCCTAGAGACCCACAGCCCATCTGTGGACTTGCAGGAAAAGCACCTTCCTCATTATCTCCTTCCTGCTCATTCTTGACTCCCACTCACTGCCTCACTGTTCTCCCAATCCCACGCCCATGGCTTCCCCTTGCACATCCCTGAGTACAATGTCAGCTGGTAGCATGCGAGCTTGGCACAGGATGGAGCTTCTTCCAAGGACACTGCTCTGACTGGATTGTTGGTTCCCTTCTTTGTCTCCTTACACTGCTTGGCCCACAGGGAACAGGATGCAGGTCTGGGGCAGCCACCCGCCCAGGACTGTTCTGAGTGCTTAACATTATTCATTAATTTGTTCCTCTCCAGATAGGAAAGATGGCAGGCGTCTGTGCCCTCTGCTGCTGCCCTCAACTGCATGACATGGTCATTAATCCTTTGCCTATGTGAGCCTGATCAGTTGCCTCTAAAAGCCTTGGAATGGGGGTGAGCAATGTTATGTCTGTTTTGTCTGTGGAGGGAAAGCCAGAGGGTTAAGTGTATCTGGTCTGGATAATGAGAACAGGGACTCAACCCAGGATGTCTGCTCTCTCCTGACCAGGATGCTCCTTCTTTTAGTGACCCAGTGGTTGAATAGGTGAATTTCTTCTCTCCATATCCAAGCAAAATTATAAACATTCAGGTTCAGCCTGAAGATGGTACTTGGGGTTAATTTTGTTTGAAAAGCTCTTCAAGTACCTGGGGGTTTTCCTCATTAAGACCTCATTTCACACTCTCCCAGACTCCCCTGACATGAACAGAGCTATATATTAAGGTGTTTCTTTCCAGAAGAATGTGTTCAGTTAAAGGCCAGCAGGCTCCACCCCTCTCCCTGACCCCTCCTGTCAGGGGAAGGATAAACTGTTCCCTCTGTGTTGGTCACCCATGTCACAAACTCCATTGTGTGAAATTTGTGTGCAAAACTGAAATCAAGAAATGCTTTGTGGTTACGTAACAGCTCCACTGAAGGCAATCACTTGCAATGATCTCCATGGAGCCGGGTTCTCCAAGGACCCACAGTGCTTTCCGGTTGTATGGTGGGCACTTCTAGAAGCTGCAGTCAATTCTGGAGGCCACTAGGGCACCATTACCATGAAGCAGCAATTACTGACTAAATGGCGCTCTGGTCCCATGTCTTTCCAGGGAGCCTGCTTCGAGGCAGGGTGGAGTTGCTTAGAGCTGGTTTAATGAAATTGAACAAAATACTTAATTTCTAAAGAGTACAAGAAAACTTTAAAACGCTTTATGTTGATTTCATACCAAAATATCTACATAGAATCCCAACCTGTCCCCAAATCTAGACAATTTATTTAAAAAACAAATCCTAACTATATAGTCAAACGTTGGTGTTTAGCTTAAACATCCTATTGATGATGGGATTTTTTGCTAGGATTGAACTTAAATTGGGAGACACAGAGGCACAGCGACTCTAGAACTTGAGCGAGGTAAGCCCTGATTCTGCAAAGATCAATCTCCCTGGGCTTGCTAGATTTTTTTCATGTATTATAGGGAACAGTAGAATCTGTTCACAAGGCCAAATGAGATTTTTAGAGACATTTGTTACCTGCACACGCTTGTCATTTGTAACTGCACACGCTCATCAAGACTTACATTAGGGTTTTTTTTTTTTTTTTGATGAAAGAGATAATTTAATTTCAAAGTGAGTTAATATCAAAGAAAATGAAGATGAAACAATTAATTAAATTTGAGAAGAGTTCACAATTATGTTTATTTCTCATATTTTCTTACTATCTTCTGTAATACCAGTCCCAACTTTTTTTAATTCATTCTCCATGTTCTGACTTTTTGATTCAAATAGATCTTTTCTCTTGGCAAACCTTATAGAACAGATTTTTAAACCATCTAGCAAGTATTAAATAAATAATTAAATAACTAACTGCATTATTAAATAACTAATACCTGTGCTGGTCTGTCAAGAGAATACATATATTTGGCCTATATGTGTTTTAAAACAGAAACTTAGAAACATACACTAGGTAGTATTATTTCAGAATTATGAAGTCAGACTGCCAAGTTCTTGGTCTTTATCATCATGATCGTCACATTCTGTTGATCTGCTTCCGGGTACACTTGTTACATAAAACAAGAGCTGCAGAGACTAACTATGCCTAAGAGTGAAACAGCAAATAGAAATAAGACCCCATGACATTTCTGTTGATTTCTTTCCCCCTTGTTGACTTTAGAGAAAAGATGACAATGACTGTCCCCATCCTGAAGTGAGGTGAGGCTGTGCACTCCTCAGGCCAGTGTCCCTTCCCTGCCCAGGTGAGAGGACAAGGGGTACTCCTTGGGTGGCCTTGTCAGAGTCGCCAAAGGTGGGAGAGGCAAAAGCTGGGACGTGAGGTGCCCTTGCACAGTCTGGGCTCTCCCTGCCCCTCACCACCAAGTCAGGGGGATGACTGACTGAGTGACTGAGGGCGGGAGTGAGTCACTGATGAACGCCATGCTGGCCTTAGCCTCCGCGTTGTGAGATGAGGGTTGGAGTAATTCCATGGTTCTCAAACTTTTTTTGTCAGGCTTCAATTAACAACTTACACAGAGGTGCCATGTCTAAACAGGTAGCAGTAGGTCAGGCTCAGTGAAAGCAGGGTTGGAAGGCCTGAGCAACATGATGCTTTGTTTCCCTGAGCTGTCCCTACCCTCCCTGGCCTGAGCTACCTCCACACAAATGGAAAAATTTGACTTGGTTTTTCCAGCTCTAAGGCTCTCCCTGTACAAATGCCAATGGGATATAGTCGGGGTCTCTTTGTAATCAGGCAGGTTCCCTTGAGGGGCTCAGGAATGGAGCCAGAAATGCTTCCATGGCTAGCGGGTGCCCAGGGTCTCAGCTGTCAGGTTTCTTTACTGGACCACTGGTGTTTGCCCACTGGGTTATGCAGGCTCCTTTCTCCTGGAGTGGGCTTCCCTCAGGCCCACCCCTGCGGCCCCTGTTTCCCTCTGGGAGCCATGTGCTGACGGGCAATGAGCACCCCAGCCCTCTCGCCAAGTCTGCTGACAGCCAGCTTTCTCTGCTCCCCTCGTTGCTGCCACAGCCCAGGCTGATAAAATCGCTGACGCAGATTGCCTGCCCAGCTGCGGGTGCTGGCGCGGGCCCAGCAGCCCAGACGGTCACTGGCAGAGGTTCAGCTGATTATTGGCATCGTTGCCATTGTCCTACTAGATCTTAAAGGCAAATGGGCTTGCTTCACTCTGGATCAGATACAGTGTGAGCCTAGAGCAGGACGAACAGATGCAGCCTAGAGAAGCTCTTCAGCTGGTAGACTTGGTGGGGTGAGCGGGGGGAAGACCCTGCCAGCTTTTCACAGAAGCCTAACTGTTACAAACCATGTCACTTGTCCTCATCATGGAAAAGAAAAGTTTCCCTAGATTTCTTGTGACTGATTGTGCTGGATTTCTCAACTTTCTTGTGCATTCATTCAGTATACCTTATTGAGTATCTAGAGTCAGAGGGACTGGATGTTAGGGGCTGAAGATAAAAATTATGTTTCCAAATGTTGCCTGTCCTTAGGAAATTCACTCTCTTTCTACTTTTGTCCACTATATTCTTAGGCTACTCCTTGGGAAGTGATCAGAAGTGGTATGTTGGATACTCAGAAGCACAGACAAGGGAGAAATGGAGCGTGTCTGAGAGCAGGGAAAGATTCATGGACAAGGTGAGGTTTGAGCTGAGTCATAATGGCCAGGGGGCATTTTTCCAGGCAGAGAAGTGGGAGGAAAGGCATTCTGCAGGAGGGCACATGTTGTGCCAGGGCAGAGAGGTGTGAATGCAGGTGGCGTGAGTAACGCGAACTCATGGGGGTGCTGGTGTGAATGGCTGGAGATGGCCTGTGGTCATGGCACGAAGGCCTGGAGCACTGCAGCTTTATAGAGTTGTGGGTCCTGACCCTGCAGTCCATCACAGCCATCGAAGGCGAGGGGATGGCATGGCCTGGTTGAGTTGCCCTCCCTGAAAGGACTAGGCACAGAGGTGAGAGAAGTCAAGAAACCTGGGAAGAAGAAGAGGGAGATGGCAGCATCTGGTGGAACAAAGCATGTGTTGGGCTTGGAGTGGGGCCCTGGGCCCATGGAAGCAGCTTCCAGTTGCTTTGGCGACAGCCCTGCAGCCTCATTAGGGAGCTTTCAGAGACCATGCGTTGCCCACCCCCGCTCACCTCCCACGCCCAGTGCTCACCTGCTCGCCTTTGGTGTGACTGGGGGAGGCATAGGCCTCCGGGTAGTGCTGCCGCTCGAATGGGCACTCGAGCTGCTCAAGAGGGTGCTGGCTGAAGGCATCCGTCCGAAGGTGCTTGCGGGGCCCGCTGCTGCTGCTCTGGGAGTCAATGCTCAGCCGGCAGCTGTCCTGGTCACCTGGTGTCCCCAGGCAGGGAGAGAGCTTTCAGAGGGCCTCTCTACTTATCCTCCAAGCCAGAGAAGTGCTGACTCCAGCAGGGGAGGAGGGACAGTACCATGCTTGGGCCTTGGGGCCGTGGCTGACTCAGGGACAGGCCAGGTGCTGCAGGAGGGGCGTTCTAGAGCACCTACAACATTCTGGGCCATCAGGGGCTCTGTCCCCATCACAGCCAGCCCGAGCAAACTGCCTTCCTACACCCCCCACAACGTGCCCTCTGGTCCCCCAACACTCACTGTCATCCATTTTCCTCTTGCTGTCATTGCCAGGCTGAGCAATCCCTAGGAGCCCGTTGATGGAGTAGGTGGAGCCCAGAGAATCCGACTGGGGTGACTCTGGGGGTGTTACAGCTGAGCTGGGGACTGCAGTGGGATAAGAGGGAAAGAGTCAGGATATGGGCCAACACGCCTCATCACCCTCTCTGCCACCATGGGGGAGGGAGGGGCCACTGTGGGAGGGGTTCTTCGAGTCAGCACTGACCTACTGAAGTGTTTCTACCTGTAAATATTTCTGTGACTTTTCCCCGGGAACCCAGCAAAGCTTTGTCCCAGTGGAATGGCTCAGCCCCCACAGATGGATGTGTCTGTGGACGTGTTTGTGTGTGGTTGTGTATGCACGCAGATGGGGGTGTGTGCAAGGGGCTGAGTGTGCCTGCAGACCCCTCCACACTCACTCAGCGAGTGTCCTGGGCTCAGGGCCTTGGTGGCCACGCAGCTGTCCATGGGGAGGTTGAATGGCTGCTGCACTTTGGTCCGGATGATTCTACAAGGAGACAAGAAAGGCCCATCAGAGAGGAGGCAACAGAACTGGGTGCACTTGCCTTCTGGAGATCCACTTGAGTATTTTAGAGGCACTTCAGTTTCAAACCCATGACCTCTCACACCTGGTCCTTCTCATTTCATAACTGGGACCATCATTCACTCAAGGCAGAAACACGGTGGTGGGAAGGACAGTTAAACATCCCTCTCCTTCTGCTTTCAAACCAGTCACCAGGTTCTGTGCATTTGACCTTGTAAGATCTCCCTACATCAGTCCCTCTCTGCCCATCGCTGCCCACACCTCGGTGTATGCCACCACTGACTCTCTCCTTCTGGGGTCATTTGCTGCCATACCTGTCCACTCTTGACTCTTTCTCATCCATTCTGTTGCACACAGAATAAGACTTCTTGAAATGGAAGTCAGCCTCCTGCTTAAAATCTGCCAGTGGCTTCCCATTGCTCATAGGTCAGAGGCAAGAACATGTAACCCAGTCATCAAACCCTAAAGGGCAAGCTTTGCTGACATCTCCATCTTGGCCTACTTCATGCTCCCCTCTACCCACTAGTTTTCTTTCCACTTCTTGTATAAGATCCTATAGTCCCAGGGCCTTTGCATGTGCTGTCCCAACTCTTTCTTCTCTATCTCAGCTCTTTTTGCTCCTCTTTTCACCTAGTTAGCTCTTATTTTTTCTTACTCAGGGGCAGTGTTTTATTATCTTTCTAAACCCAGTGGCCTTTGCTAGATCACATACCCTCATGATCCTGTCTTTAGCAGGACATTGAGCTGCATTTTACAATTGTTTGTGTGGGTGCTTGATTAGGGTCTGTCTTACCACTACACTGTAAGATCTGAAGGAACAGGGATTGTGTCTCCAGCGTCTACCTCATAATGAGCAAATTGCATATGTGTATGTAAATGAATGGGTGGATAAATAATTATATTGAGGTAGGGAATGAATAATTGGATTTTTTATATATATATATATATATGGGGTACAGACCAGAGGCGTGGGAGGGTAGGGTGAGAGGACTCACCAGAGACAGAGTGGGGAACAGAACAGGCAGACGGACCGAAGTTCACTGCTGAGGGGAGCAGCAGACAGGAGAGGTCTGTCCTGCCATGTGGGTTTCTCCCTGGCTGGCCGGGAATTGAACCAGTGCTGCAGAGGCCACAGACAGCTCCACAGCACTGCGTTCAACCTGCTGCGCCACCAGGGAGGCCCATGGATGATTAAACAAATGAGTGAATGCTACAATAATAATCGGGTTAGGAGTCTTGTGACTCAGGAAAGGGTCAACTCAAGAAGATTATTTTATTAGAAAGAGGATATGCTATGTGAGGATGGAAACTGCAGGCACCCCACAGCAGCAAGGAGGTGTGTTACCTGCCCTGGACCACGAGTGCTTCCTGCTTGATTCTTTAGCATGGGACTCCTCCCCAGGTCCTTCTTACAGTATCTCTCATCTGATTCACCCAAAGCCCAGGAACCCCAGCCCCTCACTGCTTTCTCTCTCTTACCTGTTGATGGAGCTAACACTGGGCACAGTGTCACCATCACAGACACCCTCAGCCAGGAGCCGGTCTCGGATCTCCCAAGCAAACATGGTAGGATTCTGTCGCTTGTAGTCGCCAATCTTCTCCACCACCTTCGGGGTGGCCACCTTGGGCTTGGAGCCCCCTATCACTCCAGGACGGATGCTGCCAGTCTCGTAGTACCTACTCCAATTGAGAATCCCAAAGAATTACCCAATAAGCAGGTGGGGTCTTTGGGCAGGGACTTAGGCAGAGATGCTTGCTCCCCACTGGGGCTTCTGGGGTGGGGCGTGGAGGTAAAATATGTCCCCAGGCCACCTCTAACACTTGATATTCCCAGCTCTGTCTGGGCTTGCTTGGTAGGTTTATACTGCTGCCAGGCCAGAACTGCTACTAGAGACCTTCCCTGGGACGCCTGGCTTTCCTTCTTCCTTTCTCCCCGGCCAGTATAGTGTCTGAACACCTGCAGCGGCCACTGTCAGGGGGCACAAAAGATGTTCCTTCTAAGAGAGGAAATGCTGACTTCTGGACTTGGTGTGGATTACAGGTTCACCGTAGGGTTTTCTCTGGGCAGCGTGACTCACTGTTCTCCTTGGCCATTCTGGTTCAAGCCCTCCCCAGGCAGCCAGCTGGGGTCATTGGGGCTTCTACCCTGTCTCGCTGGCTCACCTTTGCTCCCCACCCTGTCTGAGCCTCCCCCAATCACTGGTTTTCTACCAGGTTACTCGGTTCAGGCTGAAGCCTCTCCTCGTGGACTCTGGATCCCCGGCCACGTCCCGTGCCTGAAGCCAAGCCTGCTCTCCCAGGGTCTCCTTCTCTACTTCCACCCCCAACTAGCTGCTTTGGCAGAATGACCTAGATCAGGAAACCTTCCCTTTTGTGGTGGAAACTCTTGGGTCTCTTCAATGAAATGACTCTTCCAGCTCTTTGTGTGTGTGGGGGGGGTGGAGGTGGGGGGGACCCTCGCCGGTGGCCGGGGATTGAACTGGAGCTGCAAAGGCTGCGCCGCAACCCAGCACTCAACCGCTGCGCCACCAGGGGAGGCCCAACTCTTCCAGCTCTTTAAAACTCCCTGTCTGTCTCTACCGTGCAGGGCTCATCTCCTCCCTGGGATGCTGTAGCCCAGCTGGGGAATCACTCTGGACCTCAGCCACCAAGGACACCTTTCCCTGACTCTTCAGCCAGGATACCAGGGCCTTTCACTTTCAGCTACAGGTTAGGCCCCTCGCCCCTTGGAACCAGAACACCTCTGAATCCACCTATGGGGTAGGGGAGGGAGATAGGGACGCTGTGCTGATGGAAAGCCTAGAATCCGCAGTGGCAGGGGTATTTCTGACAGAAGTCATTCCCCAGACTAGCTCATGTGACTCTCTCAGCCCAGAAGCCGGGCTCTGCTGCCCCTGGTCCTGCTAACCTTGGGTCCATAATTCTAAACTCTGGCTGAAGTAAATTAGAGTTACTTGAGGGGGTCTTACCACTATACTGGGCCCATTCCCCTGAAATCCTGCTTTAATTGGTGTGGGCTGGGACTTGAGCACAGACTTTGTTTTAATTAAGGTTCCTGGGTGACTAACAGGCAGCCAGCAGGGTGGTGAGCCATTGCTCAGCAGCCTTATGGAGGGTCTTAGTGCCACCTGGACATCTGTAAACTGTGTCCAGCCCCGACTCCCACAGAGGCAGACACCGTGCCTCAGGCTCCGCATTTCATCAAGCAGCCTGTGCTTATGTGGCAAGTGCTCTGGGGGTTACAGTTTGAAGTGCAAACTCAGACACCCCTGGAGCCGGGGTACCTTCCTCATGACTCCATTTCCCTTCGTCTCAGTGGGGTGAGGTGGGGTGGGATGAGGGTGAGGGTAGGGAGGACTTTGGGGGAAGGTTCTCCTGTTTGGGGAGCAAAGACACCTATAGAAAATGAGACATAGGGGCAGAGGAGAAAGAGGGAGAGGGAGAAGGGAAAGGATGGAGAAATGGACACAGAAGTCAGCAGATGGGAGGGGCTCTGGGGCATCTGCACACCCTGTTCAGGTCCGGGGACCTATGCTGGCTATTGGGAATGGACTCCAAGTCCAGTGAGGGAAGGTGGCTGCAAGGTGGGCTGCAGAAGGCAAGCCCTGCAGGGAAGGTGGCACGTGGTGAATTTCGTGCTTACCTGCCAAGGATCTTGCTGACGCAGCCATGGCTGACACGGAGTTGGCGGGAGATGTCGCAGGGCCTCACGCCCTGGTGGGCCAGGTCCACGATGCGTTGGCGCACCACTTCAGGCAGGGGTCTGCCATTCACGAAAGCCCCTCCCAGCTGGTTCAGCCCTCCATGGCCTAAGAAAATAGTTCAGGGACAGTTAATCAGTGCCAGGCAAGACAGCCCATTCACCTATTCACATGTTTACTGACCGCTCATCATGTGTCAGATGCTGTTCCAGGCACTGGGGATGCTGAGGTGAATAAGGCAGATGTAATTCCTGCCCTTGCCCTATCAGGTTTATTAGAATGAGGCCCCATTTCAGCAATAGCCAATTGGCATACCATGTGACCACTGCTGTGCTGGAGACCCTGCAGGGGGCGGGGGTGGGGATCACTGGAGGAGACCACTGGGGACCACAGAATTGTTTCTGAAGAAGGCGAAGTTGAGACTGAGGATAAAGACTTGTTAGCTGAGTGAAGAAGAGAAGGGAGAAAACTGTTCCAGACAGTTGGAATAGCATGTGTGAAGCTTTAGAGGCAAGAAGGTCTTTGCTGTTAGAGTTATCGACATCTCAGGTCTAAAATCTCTAGACGCAGGCCACAGGAATTTCAAGGTTGAGATCTCCATTTTGCCCATGAGAAGACTTGGGCTGGGAGAATTTAGTGGCCTGATGTGTATGCCTTATGCGACCCGAGGTTTAAGGCTCCCATCAGTACTGCTTCCTGGGGTGAGCCCTATTCTGTGGGTCGGACTGGACCTGGGAGCTGGCACTGACCCGCAATCCCAGCCGAAGGTGGCACGGTCCAGGCAGGAAGGTCATGCTTTCACACTAGGGGCATGATTTGGTGATCTGGCTGTGATGGTAGAGACCCTGGGGGTGGAAATCCAGGGGTACAGGCAGGTGAAAGGAAGAACCAATGCCAAGTCTTCTGTGGGTGCCCATTAAGGGCTATTTATGGCCCAGGGCTGGAAGTGCCTCTGCTGGGCACACAGTACCTATTACAGCCCACTGACTTAGCACATTCAGAACTGCTTTGCAATTGGTTCCTCAGGGGCCGAAGCTGTCTTCAGCACAACAGTCAATTTGCCTTAAAAGAAGGTTAAAAGCCTCTGGCCGGGGCGGTAAGTCAGGAGAAGCCTGCTGGCCAGATGCCTAGCAGGAGGGACAGGATGATCCATCTTCCTGGAAGAGTCAGCTGGGTGAGCTTGGGCACACCTTCATCTGTCCTGCTCCAGGCAGCTGTCCCCCGTAACATCTCCACCAGAGCTGGGAAGACATCTAGTGGGGCTTTCAGTGCTGCCTGAAAGCCCCAGAATGGGCTCCCAGAGTGGGCTCAGGGGTAGGGACAGGCTTCTCAGTGGCCAAGGTGCTCTGAGGAGAATGACTTGGTGGATGTCTCCAGCCATTTGACCCCTCACTCCATCCTTGCTGCCTTTCGATTCTTTTGGGTCCACTGAACACGAGGGGGCGCCAGAAGCCACCCAAACAGAGAAGCTCTCGAGTTCCCTGACTTTATCCCCATTTTCCAGAACTTAGGCTGCCACCTCTCCCCCCACCCCACGACAGTGACCCCCCCCCCACTCCCCGCCCCAGGCTTAGGTGTTTGTGCTAGGATCTTAACATTTGGAAGCAAAGTTTCCTACAGGTGGTGGTGGTCTCAGCCCTAAAAAGATAGTAGGTTGAGAAAAAAAAAAACCCATGCCATTTTTGAGTGACATAAATTAGGTACTGTGCATTTAAATTCTTTTACTGTTTCTTTCTAACTGTAGACTTTTGTCCAAAATCTCCTTGAAGAGGCGGATCCTTGGAAACCCAAACCCTCCAGAAAAGTTACTGACTACATCGGCAGAAGGGAAAAATGCATTCATACTATGAAGGGCGATGCTTTTATTTTACAGCAGCTGAGTGACTCTGAGTTATTGTGCAAAGAGCCTTGAACCAGATTCCTACCTTGACTCTGTCCTGTTTTAATTTTTCATGTGGAAAGTTGGATTTCCCCAACTTAACTAGGATGTTTTCATCCATTGACTGGAGCTAACTGTGACTCTTGTGTCTGCTGCTGACCTTTAACCACTGCTGGGAGAAGACGGAGAGTGAGGATGGAGGCATGTTTGGGTAGCTGGAAGTCTTCTATAAATGCAAAGCTTTTCTAATTTTTGGTATCCACATGATTGATGCCATGGTGCAAATTGCCCTAGCCAAGGGCAGTGGCTCTCAAACTTGAGTGGGCCTCAGAATCACTTATGGTACTTGTGGAAACAGAAGGCTGAGCCCGATACCCTGAGGCCTGGGATGGAACCAAGAATTTGTATTTCTAAGGAGATTCCAGCTGGTGCTGACACAGCCTGAAGCCACACTCTGAGGACCATTGTTTTAGGCTGAGCAGCAACTGATAAAGAAAATTTAAGGTAACTACTACTCACACCACCCTTCCCCCACCCATCTCCACCTTTCATCACAACACACATTCACAGTGTCTCCCATGATCAGGTTTTGATGATACCATCTTGAGCAAGATAAGAAACGTGTCCCTCAAGGAGCTTAAGATCTTTGGGGGGATGCAATGAAATAAGTTAGAAATCGCTATATTAAGGAGGAAATTTTTTCTGAGAGGTAATTCCAGGTGCTAGGGAAGCCTGTAGCCAGTCACAGGGAAGTTTCAGGGAGGAAGTAACCAGACGAAGAAGTTTCCAAAGACAAAAAATTCATGCACAAGTTTAAGAAGTTGAAAAGCATCTATGTATCTGTAGGCTGGGCAGGAAGATGAGCTTGGAAAGACCTGCTGGCTGTAGATGGAGGCCACTCTTCTGGCTTGAGGTTTTGAGCAGAGTCCCTGTAATGGAAGGACTTTTGTCCTTCCTGTGTCCGGTGTGGGGGAGTGGAGTCCTCTGGGTGAGTCACCACCCAGTGCCCAGAGGTGGGTGCAGCCTTCCTTCCTGAACTGCGGTGGGGCCTTCCTTCCTGAACTGCGGTGGGCCAGGGCCACCCACTGTGCTGACCACCTTTCCATGTGGTGGTGGATGGGTGCACTCTGAGGCCGGAAGCCAGAAATGAGTGGGTACCCTTGTGGGGCCCCTGGGGAAGATCTGAACCAGAAAGAGGTTTGAAGTTTGGAGGTTTGAGTTTGGAGTTTCCTCAACAAAGGCCCTTTGCTAGAGGATCATGGATGCGGAGTGATGGGTGTGGAGAAGGTGGAACTGTCTGGCTGATATAGCAGGTTCTGAGGCAAGAGAAAGCTAACTTTCCAGGGGCTGGAGAGGACTTCTGCAATGAAGTCCTGTAAACTTAGGGACTATAAACATAAGAAAAGATACTATTTGGGGAAATCTTAGGGCTTTCTTTGGTAATCTCTTCACCCCTTATAAGACTCTGAAAAGTAGGGATGGTTGAAGGAATAAAGAGGTTCACAGCCTGACACTCATTACATGCCCAGTACTCACACCCTTAAGGTGTTGGGGTATTTTACCCCCTTGGTCCTGTCTAAATTGAACTTCTTGTTTGGATTCCTTTATGCATTATTCTCAAGGGCAGAGGCGCAGTCTACCTGTCACAAAGGTTTAATTAATGCTTCAGGATATACATGTGACAGAAAAACTCTTTACAAATGCGAAGAGCTCTACTGGATGTTGAGTGGAATCTCCCACAGGACCCCTAAGTGCTATACGCTGTTATTTTCTTCTTTTACCTTCTGCCTGACACCTCACACCTCTGGGAATTTTTGCTTTAGTGCCAAGGACAGTGGGGTTGGAGACTTGGAAGAGCTGTCTGTAGTGGGAAGCAGTGACTGCTCTGGGATGTCCTTTGAATTATGCTTGTCCACTGCCCTTGCATAGAGGCATGGTCTTGCCAGTGCTGGCCAGTGTCTGACATTCTCAGCCTGGTGGTGTCTCACTTGCAGGTCTGTGATCTCCCACTGTAACCTCCCAGCAGCTCCCCATGGCTTGATGCCTTATGGAATAAACACCAGAACCTCTGACTCGAAAAACATGTTCTAGGCCCCTGGAAACCTCTTGTTCTACCTTTCACCCCAAGTCCACACAGGTTGCTCCAGCATCCATGAGGTTATGGGTTATCTGGGCACTTTAGATCCTTGGTCTAGGATAAAAAGGGCTAAATACTGAGATGCAGCATTCTGCATCAGGTTTCCCCAAACTTCTGCATGACCCTTGGTATCTCTGTGCCTTGCACTACCTCCTCCAAAGGGTAACTGGAGTAGAGAGAAAGTAGCAAGATAAAGCTGCTACTGATACTTCTCCATGATCCCTCATTCTTCCATTGTTCTGGAATCTCTTCCCATTTCCTTTAAATTATTTACCTTTCTCTTTCTCCTAGCTTCTTCCCCTGGATCTGTAAATGCAATTAAACTCATCCATCCCTAATCGCCATCCCCCCCACAAAAGTCTCCTTGACTATGAAATCTTTTCCTATCATTTTCATCCAAGTTGTTTTTCAGAAAGTAGATGTGCATGCTGTTCCCCTTGCCTTCATTTCCTCCCCTGCTATGCAGATCACCTTGAGACATGCCTCAGGCTTAGCACGTGGGAGCGCTTATTAACTGATGGAGGGTGGAGGTGCCATAGTCTCCCTCTCCAGTGGATTTTTCTATGGCAGCACTATCTTCTTACACCTTATACCTTCAGGCATGCTTTTTCTCTTTACTGAGGTTCTCCTCCATCATTTGTTCCATTGTATTTATTTTCTTCCAGATTTTTTCAATTCCTAGTGCTCTGCTCACTGTACTGGGTCATCCTTGGTCACCCCCTCCCCGACCATGGTGCGTCTACGACTGGTGTACTGAAGGCGTTGTGGGCATCCCAGGTGTCTGCAGCAGAGATCTTTACCCCTCTTAGGTGGTATAGAGGTTCCTCTTTGAGCTTTGTCTTGGTAATGACAGCAGGTGCCACACAAGTGTACAGCTTGCCCCTGCAGCTTCATTTCATGCTACCTTCCACCACACATTGTGGCCTTCTCGCACATGCTCTTCCCTCCACCTAACTCCTGTCCTCTCCTCTTATCTAATTAACACTTACCCAATCTGTAAGATTTAGCCCGTACAAAGTCACCTCCTCTGGCACTTTGTTTTGTCCTAGAGGTTAGAACCTCTGTTTAGATGCTGTCATAGCAGCCTTCACCATTCTACCTTGACATCCATTCAATTTTAATTTTACAGCCACAATGATAGGTATGAGAAGTGAGGTCTTCTCACACGAGACTGAAAACTACACAAGGCAGGACTATGTCTATTCTGTTCATTATTAAATGATATCAAGGGTTCAAAAAATATATCCTACATGAATGAACTTACAGCCATTAACTTCTTTCATTCTCCCCGTATGGAGTATTCCCCAAACCATACATTTTACCTCCTAAACATTTACTTAAAAAGTATCTTCCTAATCATCCCTGGAGTGCATACATCCATGCATTCATTTATCCATTTAGTGGAAATTTATTGAGCTCCTATCACATGTGAAACACTTTTCCAGAACTTTACACAGAGCTGATCCCTGCTCGCTCAGCGCTTCCAGTCCAGGAATACATTGCATCAATAAACTGCTAAATGTACCTACAAATAAATGTATAATAATTGCCTGGATGGTGCTAAGAAGGACACAACACGAGGTGGTCTTCCTGAATAATGGGGGGAGAGTGAGAGACAATTAATTCCAGATGACCAAAGTGACATCATCTGAGACAAAGGCAAGTAGGGGTTCACCTTACACAGGTGACCCTTGGCTGGGGAGCAATACATCTAAACCCAATTTGACCTTGATGCTGCCAAGTTGCTGAAGGCTTCCAGGGCATGCACCATCTCCTGCATGGGGCAGCCGAAGCTACTCAATCTGCAGGCAGTGCCCACCATGAGCTGGCCCCGGTTTACCTCGCCAGCCTCATTTCCTATCTGGCTGAGCTGGAATCTTATGTCTTGGCATCAGAACTGCTGGCTGCTCTTCTTTCACAGTATGTGATCCTCCCAGTGTCCTTGTTCTTGCTCTCACTCCTCCCTGCTTGGAGCACCCTTTCCTTACTGGGTCTCATTGATTCATACTCATGCCTTGCTTCAGTTCAGGAAGATACCTCTTACAGAAAGTCTTCCTTGACTTTCCTGCCTGCTCCCTCTGGTCCTTTCTTTTAAACACTTCAGGGCATAATCTCTACTGCTGCACTTCATAGAATATAAATGTCTATTTTTATACTGCCTCTGTCCACTTGCATAGACTTGAGGGGTGATGGGTGGCCACTTCATCTGTGAAATGTTAATATCTGGTATATGATTTGGTGCACAATGGGTACCAAATAAGTGCTATTGCTTTAACTATAGAAGGAGGGAAGGGAAGAAGTAGGAAAGAAGGGAGGGAGAAAAGAAAGATGCCATGTTCACAACAAGCTCAGTGAAGCCTGAATATTCTTTTTCCAAGCAGAACTGTTGGAAACACACACACTACATACATAATATGCTATATATATATATTTATATATAACAGAAGATACATATATATGATGTGCACGTACACACACACACACACACACAGTAGGAGGAGCAGTTTTCCCTCCTGCAGGAGCCAACAGATGCATGCAGGGCCTTCCTGTTGGCTTTTATATCAAACCTTCAATATTAATGTCAAGTGTGCGCACTTGTCATGCTCACACCTTTCTTAGCAGCCTTAGCCGGGTTTGCAGGAGCACTCTGTGAACTGGGCAATGTTGTCACCAGTTTCCAGGGATGAGGAGATTGTTACCAATGTGGGCCTTGGGAGTCTGAGTTAAGAACTGGCAGTAGAGGCTCTATGGAGCATGATGAGAGGTGATCTAGAGTCTTGACTCTCTTGGGGTTCATTCACAGCTCTGGTGGGGAGACATCAACATGCATTGAAGGAAGGAACCCCAAGACAGATCAAGCCAAGAGGTTTAGCAGCAAAACTTACTGGAACCTGGCCTCCCCAGTGGCGCAGCGGTTGAGCGCTGGGTTGTGAAGCTGCCTGCAGCCTCTGCAATGACGGTTTGATCCCCGGCCACCAGGCGAGGGCCCCACATGGCGCGCAGACCTCTCCTGCCGCCCGCTGCTCCCATCAGCAGTGTACTTCCTCAGTCTGCCTGCTCTGCTCCCTGCTCCGGCTCTGGTGAATTCTCTCACCCTCCTGCACTTCTGACTGTATCCAGTGCTTGTATAAATAAATAAATCTTTAAAAAAAAAACTTACTGGAACCTTGGCCATTCCGGATGCAGAGACTCACTGGAGAAGAAGGTTCTGACTCAGGGCTGCCTGGGCAGTGCTGCCCCTTTATGTCTGCAAAGGTCTGTACAGTAAAAAAGAAACTGGTCCCCCAGTTCTTATTGCCAAGGAGCCCAGACTATGTTGTGTGATAAAGCCCAAGGACTTGAGCAGACTGACCTGTGAGCCTGTTCTCTCAGATCTTCTCTGGCATCAAGTAGCAGATCATCTAGGGTCAGGCAGAATAGAGAGACCTGCTCCTAGCTGTTTCAGTGGAGGGGTTTAACAGAGGGGATTATCTGGGTGCTGGAGGCGGTGTGAGCACAAAGGAAGGACTACGATAACCCTGAGATGGTAGTTTACAGGAAGAGGTCACTGCTCACGGGCTGGGAGAAGCAAAGGGAAGAAGAAGCTGGAATTACCAGAACCTTGAGGCTTTGGAGGATGAACCAGGGAGCTGGGACTGAGGCCATCCAAGTGACAGCACCTCCTGCCTGCCTCTACATCTGAGGAGCACCTGAGTCTGGTTCCCGGGGAGCTGGAATCTGGACAACTGCTGCTGTTGCTGCTATTTGTCCTCTTAGGCTGATGCATAAGGGAGGTTCATTTAATATTTTATTTTCATCCACCGAAGCTGTACAGGGTAGAGGTTAGGAAAGTAGGCTCTGGAGACAACTGCCTGTCTTCAAACCTTTGCTCCATCTCTTAACTTACAACCTCAGTGTGAACTGCACCTTTCCCCATCTCTCCTCCTAGGTGTGTCTTGTGTTCTCAATAACACCGATGGGCAATGCATGGGCCTCCACAAACATTCTCTGTTTCCATACCAGGCACTGCTCCAGGCTCCGAGGATATATGGGATGAAGACAGTTGGATCTCTGTCCTCTTGGAGGTTATAGTTTTATGGGAATGGTTTCAATTTAATTAACTTATTACTCAGTAAATGACAGAACTCTCTCATCCCATCTGACCTTCTCGCCTGGATCATTTAACTGCTCTTGCTCTTCCAAAATCCTAGTGATGAGAAAAGGACAAGGTTCTGGAATGCGCTGGGGATGGGGGTGGGGGGCAGAAAATAATCCCTGCTCTGTCTTTCACTTCTAGGAGCCCCTGTCCAGGTGGCTATTGATTCCTGAGCTTGTCCTTGTCAGGCCTTCTCCTGCTTTGTTGGGTCTCACCCCTCTGGTGGGGTCTCCATGCCATTTACTGCAGCCCAAGTAGCCCCAGATGAGACACGAGGACCAACTGCAGCTCCCTGCATCCTTCAATCTGAAGTTTCAGCAAATGGAAGGGCTTCCCAGAGGCCCTTGCAACAATAGGCTAAGTCGCGTGGCTTCTTTGGATGCTCTTGCCTGAGATCAGCACAGAGGGTAGGAAAGCTCAGCATTATTCTTTCATCTCCAACAGGGAGAGAAGGCTGGTGAGGGTGGAGGGTTGGAGACAAAGGGTGGATAAAAAGGGTCCTTCGGCGTCAGTCATTAGCTGGGAAAGAACCAAACTTGGTTGGTATTTTTCCAATGTTGAGCTCAAAAGAAGAGGAAAGCTGGGAAAGGGGAGGGGAACAAGGGCTGTTTTCAGTATCTAGCCCCCTGCCCCCATTAGGCTATGCTGGGAAAGAAGTCTTTGAACCAGCAAGGCAGATGCACTTTTTGAGTCAGAGTAAGCACTCTGAATGCATCTTCTCATTAAGTCATCAGAACAGTTCTTTGAGGTAAGTAGCACATTATCCCCGTTTTACAGGTGATGAGATGAGGGCACAGAGGCCACGTGGAACTTGACCAAGGCTGCATCAATGCAAAGGTGCAGTATTAAACTGCGCTGCTCAGCCCTACCAGCAGCCTACACAGCCCCTGTCCCAGGCCAGTCACAACTTTCCCTAAGAGCAAATGTATCTGTGCTTCCCCTATCAAATGGGGGTACTTTCCAAAACCCTCTTCGGGGGCCTCCCTGGTGGCGCAAGGGGTTAAGATGCAACCCATGAAGCTGTCTGCAGCCACTGCAGCACGAGTTTGATCCCCGTCCAGGGAGCTACCCACATGGCGCAGCAGACCTCTCCTGTCTCGCCCGCAGCTCTCCTCAGCAGTGTATTTTAGCCGATCTGCCTGTTCTGTTCCCCACTCTGTCTCTGGTGAATCCTCTCATCCCCACACCTCTGGCCTGTACCCCAGTTCTTGTATGCATAAATAAATAAATCTTTAAAAAAAAAAACAAAACTTCAAAATCTCCAGGTTTCATTATTTCTTTTTTTGTACTTTTCTGTAGTCAAAGAACAATCCTAATTCCTTTCTCATTACCCCCCCCCATTCCTCTATGTTGGTTCATTTTCCTCCACTCTGTTTTTGTCCATCCCTGTGCCCTTTCTGCCCAGTCTCGCCTACACTCCTCTGTGTTCCTGTGTCCTCAGTGTCTTCCCACTGTCTTGCTTGCTTTTATCTCCATATTGTGCTGATTGCCCCTGCTCTCCCGTTTCCTCTCAGACCCTTGCTTGGTCTGGTCTGTCCCTGTCAAAGATGGGAGACCCCTCCAGTGCCACCTCTCCTCACTGCTCACCCGGAGTTTTCCGCTTTCTCCTCCCTCTGTGCCTTTGGCCACCCCCTCCTGCATCGTCTTTATTGCCTGCATGACTGCTCAGGTTCTTTATCCCATCTTCCCCTCAAAGGCATTCGCAGCTCCGCTGTTATTCTTGTATTAGCATTGAACCCATTAAAGCTAATTTGTTTGCCCTAATCTCCATTTATTTTTCCCTAGTTGATATTAGATTTCCCTTTCTATTGCTCCAGCATGATTTTCTCTTTGTCTTCCTAATGGTCTACCCCCCTCTCTTCCTCTATTAATCTGGTTGGCTTCACTGTGTGGTTTCAAGGCCTTTCTCCGCCTCCCCCAGCCCTTAGATTAACCCTGTCACCTCCCTCCCAGGAAGGGCCCCAGTGTGTGGATTTCCAGGAATGGAGCTGCTGCAAATGTCAACAGACCTAGAAGCTTCCCTAAAAAAAAAAAAATTCCTGTTTGAAGGGAGACCCTTCTTGGTCCTAAAGCCAGTTTGAATGCATAAGAAGGGGCATGGGGACTGGAGCTAAGAGCTGGGAGCCAGTGGGCATACGTGGGCTGCATTGAATCCTGAAGGGCTGCCAAGCCTGACAGTTCCCCTGGCTAGATCTCCCTTTGAGGTTGTCTCCAAGCTTTTTGGAGGTCTCTGCAAGCTTTCGCAGATCCTGTAAGTTGTGTCAGTGGGCCAGCAGTGGATTGGCCACTTTCTCCCTGTGGCTAATATTGGACACTGTTTCTCTGCCACCCCCTATCTGGAGGCACATGCCCTGCCCTTCCTGAAGATGAGCAGCTTTGCCCCTGTGGATGTGGTTTTTGGGGTGGCTAACTGTTCCCTCCGATCCCCAGTCATAAAGCCTTCTTGGACAAGAGTGCAGCTTTCCCCCAGACGCCTAGCTCTCTAGGGGCAGGTGCCATGTCCCTGCTGATAAGAGAAACTGGCCAGCAGGGGTAGGGAGGAGAGCTGTGCTTTGCCCTGGCTGCACCCTAGCCCCCTGGGGCAGTCAGCAGCTTTCATCTTAAGGTCCATTCAACCAGAGTCTTTTGGCATGGTGCCCCAAATCCGTATTTTTTGAAACTCCTCTAATGCTTGCCTAGAGTTTAAATCCACTTGGAAGGTGCTCAATAAATATTTATTGATTGAATTCACTAATAGATTAAACACGAACTTCCCCTAAGGACCCCTGGTGGGTCCACCCTGGTGGTGCAAGGGGTTAAGACAGCACTATGAAACTATCCATAGTCACTGCAGCACGAGTTCAATCCCTGGCCAGGGTGGGGACCCACATGACACAGCAGACCTCTCCTGTCTCGCCCACTGCTCCCCTCAGCAGTGTATTTCAGCACATCTGCCTGTTCTGCTCCCCACTCTGTCTCTGGTGGATCTCTCACCCCCACATCTCTGGCCTGCACCCCAGTTCTTGTGTGCATAAATAAGATTAAAAAAAAAAAGAAGAAGAACCCCTGCCTGGGAAGGTCATTCTTCTCCACTGTTTCTCCTTTGCTTCCTAGCTCCCTCCAGACCCGGACCCCCCAGCCGAGGCTGCATTAGAAAGGGCAGGACCTCTGCATTTGGGAGACTGGAGCAGGAAGGCCTGCACTGCTGAACATGGACTAGGAGCCCAGAGCCCACACAGATCACCGTGCTGCTCCTTCCACTCTCCCTGGGGTCAGAGGCCTGTGGATATTAATGCTGTGTTTTAAAAAAATGAGCCTATATTAAAGCAATTTTCAGTTCATTAGATTCCAATTTAATGAACACCCACTCCATGTCTAATAATATTCCAGGCTGTGTGTATGTGGGGAGATGGTTTCTGAGAAGATACAGTCCTTGCCCTTGAGAAAGTTACTGTTTAATAACCCCTGATATGTTATAGAATCATAAAGTTTCTAAATCCATGCACATGCCCCATCTCCTTCCATACTTTCTACCACCCTGTGGAATACCTATAGCTGTGTGTGTGCATATGTGTGTGTATGTGTCTGTGGCCATGTGAATTTCTGTCTGTGCGCACATCTCTGTGTGCGTGTGTGCGTGTGCATGGTGGGAATGAGGGTGGCTCATAAATAATCCACATCCCTATGACATGTTAGACTGCTGAGTTCTTTAGCTCAAAGATACACTTCCATAAATGTCGGGGTTTTGGACACTGACTTACAAGTCATCAAGAGCTGTGTAGGGGAAGAGATAGAGGTAGGTAAAAGGATCCATGTAGAGAGGGGGACTCATGATTGGAAAAGAGAGAGGAAGGGGGTAAGAAACAGCAGTGAGGTGGGGTCACAGCAGTGCTAGGAAACCAGAGGAATGAGGGCACCTTCAATACAAGTGAAATCACATGACCGAGAGAAGAGGGGGCTCCCACCTCAGCCGTTGTACTGAAATACATGACCATTAACATTCTAATTCCGGGGCTCCTTATTTCTGAGGTCTTGACTGAAATAAGAGGTGATTTATTAGCTCGGCAAGGAGGTATCTGGAAAGGGTGGGCTTTGGCCTATATCTGAGAAACAGAAAGATGGTATGTGTGCGTGTGTGTGAGGTGCACAAGTGCATGTATGTACCTGTGTGTCTCTATGTGTGAATATGCATCTATATGTTGTGCTTGTGTGTGTATGTGAATGTATGTGTTGGGGAGGCACTGAGGGACCTAACCATCCTGAGGAGTGAAATAAGTAGAACAAATGAAGAAGAACCACTTTTTTAAGCTGAACACTTGAGCAGAGTCTGTGACAAAACTGCGTATCTGTGGTTTCCACACCTGTCGACTGGTTTCCCGGAACCTGGCACCATTGCAAAGTGATTAAACACTGTGAAAGCCGCACTCATGACTGCGCAAGGAAACGGGATGGAGGACAGAGAGTGACAGATGCAGCCTGCAGCAGGTTGGGGTTTCAAGGGAGGAAACACAGGGTGCAGAGTCCTAGAAGACCTGGAAGTCCCGCTCTGTGGCCTTGCCTGTCAGTGCCTCAGTTTCCCTCCTCTGGCTTGAAGGAAAGGATATTTACTCTTCTCCCAGTCCCTGATATCTGCAGCTCTGGGACTACTCAGGCAAGGAAACAAAGGCTAGAACTCCCAGAGGGGAATGCAGAAGGCTGTGTGGGGATAGCTCTGGAACTTTCCCATGTAAGAAGCCCCTTGGCATGGTCCTGAGGGCACCATGAGAAAGGAAGGAAGGTGGCCACTCCATGGGCTGCCACATGACTTGCATGATGGTCCAGTGAGTCACTCTAACAGACCATTGAGGTGGACTTGCATCGTATCCTGCAGAGAGCAGAGCTGCCAGCAACAATATACCTGGCCAGGAGGGGAGCTACCTGTGTAAAGTCACAGACTCACTTCATGGCAGAGCCAGGACAAAAGTCACATTTTGTGGGCAAGTCCTTGTTTGTTCCTCATGCCAAGACCCTCAGGCCCTTTGGGACATTAGGGCCATATTGGCTGCACCATCTTAGCAGACAGGGGAGGAAGGCGGTAGGGGGTTGGGTAGAGTGAGTTCTGAATGACGACATGCCCTGAAGGATTTTTGGCTGACAATATGTAACATATTTTTTTCAGACCTACAGCACAGTGATTTGAAATTTATATACAGTGTGAGATGATTTTTGGCCCTTGTATCAGCTTGTTTGCTTGTCATCTTTACTTTCCTACATGGTAAACTCAGACTTGAGGTGCTGTGTTTTGGGTTCTGAGTATGGGCAGCAGAGTCTGCTCTTGGTGGAAGCACTGGTTGGCCGCTACAGGAAAGGCTGTAGAGAAGGTGAGTCAGTCTCTTCTCGCCCCTGTCAGTCCCAAGCCAGGACTTCCACAGTTGGTGTCAGTTGGACTCAAAGCAGCTGATGGTCAGAGGCCCTGCTAGACTAAGAAAATTGAGCATTCAGATTGTTAGGGACTGTCACCCCCAAATCTCACATGTTGAAATCTTAACCCCCAATATCTCAGAATGAACCATATTTGGAAATAGGGTTTTTGTAGATGATTAAATTAAGGTGATTGGCATGGACCCTAATCCCATGTGACTGTCCTTATAAAAAGGGGAAAATTTGGGAGCCTCCTTGGTGGTGCAAGGGGTTAAGACGCAATCTATGAAGATATCTGCAGCCACTGCAACCTGAGTTGGATCCCTGCCCAGGGAGCTAGCCACACGGTGCAGCAGACCTCTCCTGTATCACCTGCTGCTCCCCTCAGCAGTGTATTTCAGTCAATCTGCCTCTTCTGTTCCCCACTCTGTCTCTGGTGAATTCTCTCACCTCGCCCCCTGCACCTCTGGCTTGTACCCCAGTCCTTGTATGCATAAATAAATAAATCTTTTTAAGACGGGCGGGAGGATTTGGACAGAGAGACACATAAGAAGAACGCTGTGGGAAAACTGGAGTTACAGTGCTAGAAGCCAAGAAACACCAAAGAGGCCAGGAAACCATCAGAAGCCAGGAGAGCAGCCTGGAACAGTCTTCCCTGACAGCCCTCAAAAGAAACCAACCCTACCCACACCAGATCTCAACTGCGAGACAATAAATTTCAGTTTCTGTCACCCTAGCAAACTAGTACACAGATGACAGGGTTGTTCCTCTGAATTGGACACAGCAGGTTTGGGGAAATAGAGCTATTTCCCCTTGGGCTATCCTTCTGGGATATTGGGCTACAG